CACCTCGCTCAGCCAGTGAGCAGGAACTGGTCTGTATGTGGGATCCGAACCCTCGGCGGGAGGGCCGCCGCGCTCCCAAGCGGCGCACTGTAGCAGTGCGCCACCGGGCCGGCCCAGCAGGGGGGTGTTCTGAGGAGTGTAGCCACTGGCCATGACACCAGGAGGCTCACTCAGAAGCCTGGGGCTCATGGGGACTGAGGATGGGGAGGAGCCTGGCGGCAGCTCCCCAACAGGGCTGGTTCGCTGGAGGCCACGCGGCTGCACCCGTGGAACTCACCTGTGTGCCGCTTGTAGTGCTTGAGCATGTTGACCTTCTGTGCGAACTTGCGGTGGCACTCCTTGCACTCGTACTCCTTGATGCCTTTGTGCAGTTTCATGTGGTGGCGCAGTGCGTGCTTGGTCTTCATGCCTGCCGGGGACAGGGCAGGTCAGAGCTGCCCCGGGACCCAGGGAAGGCGCAGGCAGCAGCCGGTGAGGAACGGGAGAGGGAAGGGCTGGGCTGTGGGGGCTCGACCCTGAGGCTCCCGCTCCACCAGCAGCGAGCCCCGGGAAGTCACTGCCCGGAGGCCACTGGAGATTGACTGCAGCACCTGGACGTGCTCAAGCCGGCCAGAGCCTGGCCCAGCGTCCAGCAGCGCGTGAACAACAGTGGGAGCTGTGGGTAAACATCCACGTTTTACCACTGTGACCCGAGAGGATAATCTGGTAAGCAGCATACAAGGATGATTAAGGTTTCCTTTTGATCTTGACCACACAAGTGTTAGTTAAGATTAGGATATGAGGTGGTTTACACAGTGACTTTCAATCTACTTTTAATTTAATTCAATGAAGCCAATCTCAGGAGTTGAAATAAGCCACATGCTTACTAACTCAGGCCAGTGAGGAGAGGACGACCCTGGTGTGGGGCTGCATGAGAGGGTGAAGGGTCTTGAACAGCCCAGGACATCTGCTGGGTGAGCTGGCTGCTCAGGAAGGCCATGGGGCTGCAGGAGGCCGTGAGCAGCGGGCACTCTCGCAGTGCAGCACAACCCTCTGGGGGCTTGCATGCACTAGGGCAGACTGTGTCTGGTTCTGCTGACCACACACGGCCACAGCCCAGGGACAGGGGATGGGCCACTGCTACCTCATCACCACCCCAAGGAAATGAACCTGCAGCTGTGCCTGCCCAGGGCAGGCAGGCAGACCATTGCTATCACCCTCAGCACTCAGAGGAGGAGAGCTATGGAGCCTGGAAACAGTTCTGTCTTAAGCTGGTAACAGTTCCCTTTAATCCCAGTCACTCACTAGGCTAGCCAGAAAACCCCTCTGTCTCAGCGGACAGAGAGGTGAACTTCAGCCAGCTCCTGCCAGAATTCTGAACCCTGGGGGCAGATGACCTTGCCGGCTATGAGGATGCTGTGCCATGCCAAGCCAGTAGGGGGAGCAGGAGTTCCTGCAATGAGGCCCTGGTGATGGGGGTAATGGGCTCCTATGCTGTTGAATGGGGTGGGTACATGCGGGCCTGCTATCAACTATGGAAGAGCAGTTTTACCTTAAATTATTTAATTTTTTTAATTAAAAAAAGTTACACACACATATAGTCACAAAAACTACAGGTGAGGAGAGGTTAGACCAAGGTTGGTGGTCCAGCAACCTGCCCTTCCAGGTGAGCCGCTGGTGCCTGGGCACACACTGGGCCTAGTCTCTGGCCACGCCTCCTGAGCAGCGTCATGTCTCCCAGAACTTCCCCTAGCCAGCCTGTCGGTGCCACCGTGTGACGTCATCCTCAACTGCTTCCATCCTTTCTGCAAAGGACATGGGGCCTGGCCAGTGCAAACCCCACTCCACGTAGTTTTCAACAGCTAAATACTGTTCCTGGTGTTCACCTGTCCATTCAACAAACACCTGCGCTTGCACTATGTACCAGGTACCAGGGACTGAGTGGTGAGCCCAACAAAGTCCCTGGCCTCTCAGGGCTTCCATTTTAGATGTGGGAGGGACAACAGCAAATGCAGAATGTCACGTGAGAAGAGATAAAGAGAAGCAGGACAAAGCAGACATGGCCAGGGAGGTGATGGCAATGGGTGAGGGGCAACGGGGGTGGACAAGGACGCTGGTTCCTCCGATGGGGTGTCAGGGGATCCCCAGGGATGAGGCATCTGAAAGAGTGACTCAGAACAAGTGTAGGAGGAGCCAAGAGCTACTTGGGGACAGCATTCTTGGCGAGGGGAACAGCCGATGGGGTGTCAGGGGATCCCCAGGGATGAGGCATCTGAAAGAGTGACTTAGAACAAGTGTAGGAGGAGCCAAGAGCTACTTGGGGACAGCATTCTTGGCGAGGGGAACAGCAGGTGCGGATGTCCTGAGGCCAAGACACAAGTCCCCTTGGTGTTCAAGTTGTTCTCTACACACACAAGCTGCAGGGGACACTCTCTGCATGTCTTTATGTGGTAAACAATGCTTTATAGTGCAAACAGGATAAATTTCTAGCTCCATTCAGCCTGACTGCCCACCCTAACCACACCAGTTTACACTCCTGACCAAAATCTGAGATTGCACCTGCCTCCTCCCCCTTCCCAGCATTAGGTGCTACCCCAGGCAGTGACGGGCACAGCCAGCACCTTGGCTCTGACCTTTTGACAGTCTGACCTTCCTCCGACTAAAGGAAGCTGGTCCTTACTCACATGCCCCTAACCACCATCTTTTTCTCTTATGCATCCAGAATGAGCTAAATTACCAAAACCCAGAAAACACAGAAGGAAAGGGACAACAAAGGTCACCCCACATCCTAACCTCCCATCACAGCTGGCGTTCTGGTCTTCCAACACTGATGTCTTCCTTCCCATTAAAAAAAAATCTGTGAACAGTTTTAAACACAACTGCCACATGGTGGAAATTTTAAAGTTCTCTCTATTGGGATTATGATCCAGTCTGCATCACATTCACAAATTACTTTGAGGAAAGTTGATAATCTATAAATACTTAAAATTTCCAAACCCAGAATGGGCATGCCCTTTTAAAAATCTCTATACACCTGGTTTTTCTTCTTACAGGCCACACGGATGTCTCATGAATTATTCCTGAGTATTTCGTGGAACATGCTGTGATCCTGAACACAGTACTTTCCTGTGTACACACAGGAAACCTACTGGCAGGGTCCTGGCCCCCCTTCTGTCGGGTGATGGCTTTCATTACTTTTAATGGCCTCCTACTTAGACCTGGGAATTAACTAAACCCATGGTCAGGTCAGGAATTTCTAGGAAAATATGTAAAGTAATATTCAAGAAGGTTTCCTGTAACATCATTTATAATAATAAATGAATGCAAAAAATCCTTAATATATACTCATAAATATAGTGCTTGGTTATATGAATCCACATGATGGGATCCTATCAAGGTTTTGAAAAAAAAGAATAGGCAATATTTACCTGTTCTGATATGGAAAGATCTCCAGGTCATATGTTTAAGTAAAGAAAAAGCAAGGTACGGAGAGAACCAACAAGCATGAGCATCTGCTAATCTGTGCCAATGACTGTACGTGAGAGCAAAATAGCCAACACCAAATCCGTGTTATGTGAAATAAGTACGGCAATAAATATGGTCAATATGGCAATCATGTGAAATAAATATGGTAATCAAAGTGTTACTCCCAGCATTTAAACTATTCAGAATTCACAGAAGAAACCATGAAACTTCAAGTACACAACACATCCCAAATACTAGACTGCATGTGGCATCACGCATGTGGCTCTGACCTCACACCCTTCCCTCCCTGCCCTCCTGGGGGAAACGGCCCCACATGACTGTCTCCTCCCCCTCCTGTCTCTACGCTGCTCTACGCAGGACCCCTCCAGCCAGGTCCACTTCACTTTTTAAACAATCTTATTTTGGGGGGAGCCTGGAGAGGAAGGGGAGCCAGTGGCAGCAAGTGGGAAAAGGGGTTGGGAAGAGCTGGGGTGGAGGCTGCACTGGGGAGCAAGGGTCTGCCCCTCACTAAGAAATGCCCAGAAACTGCTGGAAATGTTGGCGACAGCTGTTTTTGGAGGGTAACTGAGGCCTGAGGTGAGAATAACTTGTCTCGCACACCCACTTGTATTGTTTTTAGAAAACCCTTTTTTTTTTTTTTCTGCTGTCCTTGCACAGTCATTCTGGGGGACACAGGGGGCCTACCACCTGTGCTGTCCTCTGCAGGGAGGGACTGAGGGCTGGGGGTGGAGGAAAAGGAGACGGTTCATTTTCTGCTCTTCTCTGCAGTGAATCTTTTGAACCTTTTACACGTACTATTGTTTCATAGGTGCTAACAGGGGTTATCTGGTGAGTAGAGCAGAATCACGGGCATTCGTGTTGTCTTTGCACTTTTCTGTTTAATTTTTTAAAAACCAAATAAAATAAAACCATTTATGGAATATTAAATTTTAAAAAGATCCTAATGGCAAAGCAGACAAACTTGATCAGTCAGATGAGCCTGGGGGGTCTGCTGTCATTGCAACAGGGTGGGCTGGGGGCGTCTGAGACAGCAGAGAAAGACTCCTGCCCCAAGCTCTCCAGGTAGTTGGGTTGTTTTAAAACAGAAATGGGTTAAAATTTTAACAGGTACTGAGATTATCTCTTTTTTCTTATTTAGCTTACTGATGTAAGATATTTTAGTAGGTTTATTACTAATTAACTAATTTTATGTTATTAACAATAAAGATTCCTTGGCCATGTTGAATGAATCTCTTAAAATGCAGCTGGTTCTAGTCAATAGCAGTTAATTTGCTAAGGATTTTGCACCTGCTGTTGAACAATATGGTGGTTCTTAGGATCATTCTACACTTTAAACAACTATATGGTGCGTTACTTTCCTACTTTTAAATGATTCATTTGTATCTTTAAATCTATCACATCTTTCTGCCTTTTGGGCTACTTTATTTTCCTTCTAGATTCCTGACTTAAATAGTTTCCAAGCAGATGACTGGCGTCTGGGGGCCTCCCTGGGACTCAACCCTGGCACACCTTCTGCTCTGCCATGTGCCAGTTCTCTTTGGCCTTTAAAGAGCGAGTGGCGTCAATGCCCGAGCTGCCTGGCACGTGTGCACCTACCTTTCCCGCACTCGGCGCACAGGTACTCGCGGATGTTGTCGTGCACGCGCATGTGCTCCTTGAGCATGTCCTTCCTTGTCAATGCCCGAGCTGCCTGGCACGTGTGCACCTACCTTTCCCGCACTCAGCGCACAGGTACTCGCGGATGTTGTCGTGCACGCGCATGTGCTCCTTGAGCATGTCCTTCCTGGCAAAGGACTTCCCACACTGCTCGCAGGCGTGGCTCTTCACCCCTGCAAGCAAGCATAGCCACACCACCACAGCGCTGAAACATTCCAACCTGTGGCCGCACCTCCCCTGCAGCTAGAAGCACAGTGACAATGTGGAGGGGGGGGTGACGGGGCAGGGAGGGGCCCTACTGCCAGAGGGAGGGGCGACAGGAC